GAAACACCCCAATTATTTTTTTAATTTTCTACAGTATCATATGCCTCAACATTTTAAACAGGTTGAGCACAGAGTTTTACAGGTCTTGAATTATGCCATCATTTTATGAGTAGGGCAGGCACTCCAAATGTTCATTAATCAGCAGCCACACTAAGTGGGAGATTTTGGGAATTGTATAAGATGAATGAGTACTAAGATAAAGAGAGAAAGAGAGAAAGAGACTTATGTGAAGGAAAGAAAGGGGTACCTAGAGAAGAGAGAGGGCAAAGGTTTTAACCAGTGTAAAGCTGCGTCCACTGGCTGGTTCAGTAATTAAAAAGTTGCAATGCAACAGAATAGTTGACCAAACCACACAGAATGCAAGCCCGAGAGTAACAGAATAACAAGGTCAAATATGGCAAGGCTTTGTACAAATCTCAGTTCCAATTTCATCACACCCTGAAACTGACACAAGCAAGCAGCTTCTCCACTATCTACAGAAGGTAGGAGGATCCATGAGCACAGGGGATGGTCAAATCCCCCCCCCACCTAGGAAGCTGTTCTGCATATTTGAACATTTTGACCTTTTTTTGGGGGGGGGGAACTCGTCTTTGGCATTGTGGCACATCTTGGTTGAAATGCGGATGAAATGAAATCAGGCACCTTCCATTTCATCCCGGCCAATGTGGAGTTTTCACACCCAGTGGCAATGTCTGACATGAGAGACATTAAGGATTTCTGTTAGCATTTGGATTAATGACCTTTCAGAGACCTTTGATAGAAATGCCACAGTTATTTTTTCCAGTTCTCTGTCGTCACTGATCCATACTGCAGGAGATAATTAAATTATATTATCTCCTGAGGATGTGGATCAAGATTTTTACTCAAAAGGGCACTTGGTCTGTTAAAAAGTCATTCAACAAACTGGTGACCTTTAAGTAACCTCTTGAGTGTAAAGTCACATTGCATCTCCAGAAATCGCAACTGATTAAGAGGTAACCATTGAGAAACTTCATCTTTACTTGGAGCTCCCATTCAAGACTTTTACAGGTTGAGTCAGTTTCCTCAAATGAAAGAATTTGTTGTTGCCTGCCATCAAGTCTTCTTCATGGATTGCTGCCTTCTTCATGGTGTGAAAGGAGAGGCATACAGAAACAATAAAATAACACAACACCACAAAAAGATATTCAGCACAGAATCGTGGGCAAAACCCCAAGATCAAGATATCCGTCAAGAAATGCTCCAGACATGCTGCTCTGTTGGATGATGCAGAGCTGCCAAAACAGAAGTAAATGTGCTGCAGGAAGGAAAGAACTTCTGCCAAAAACTTCCTGCTCCCTTCTAGAAGATTCTACGCTGGCTCTCCACAGGAAATCCCATATGGGTATGTCACAGACACCGGGAAGAAAACCTTGGCCCATGCCAGAACTGAGACTCCAGACTTAAGACACGAAGTCTAGCCCTTCCAAAAGAAAGACAGATCGAAAACAGCATGAACACGTGTGACATAAGATAGCGCACTCTCACACAACGCAAGAACCAGGAGAGAACCACAAAGCAGGTTTGCCCGGCGCTGGGGGGTGGGCTTACAGTACAGGCTCTTCTCCTGCATATCATCTACCATGGTTGTGTAAGGGCGACCACAATGGTTTGAAAAGGTGAACGTGTTCTCAGCCCAGCCAAGCATAAGGAATGGCCTCTTCTTGGTGGTACGGCGCACCCCTTTGAAGTCTCAGTTTCACATGCTGGCGGTTTTGAAACATGATGGTTCAGGGGGGGTGGCTGGGGCCAAAAGTGACCTTCCTTAAGTGTGGTTAGTCATCGTTCATTTGCAAAAACAAACAAACAAAAAAACACCCATATCTTGGCCCCAATACTCGTTATACAATTACCGGACTGCTATCATGCGCTCTTCGTGGGGTGGCCTTTGCTTGGCAGGCCCCAATGGCTGGATGGCCTTGCCTGTTGACAAGAGCACCTTATAAGGAGCAGGTCACTCCCTTCCTACCCCAGCTTCACTGGTGGGTGATTCTGTTTGTCCTCTAAAGCTGAAACCAGAGCCATATGTCTGAACTACATACCATTCTGCTATGAGATCTGGTTGGAGTTCACTGGGGCCTTGGCAAATCAGCTGCCACCCTGTGGAATACCTTCTAGGCACATGTAAGCCTGTAACCATGCTTCTCTCCGAAGACAAGTACCTCCCGAATAATGCATGCTGTTCTCAGTCTTGTCCAAGGCAGACCTTTCAACATCACAGTAATCCAAGTATATGCATCAACCACCGATGCGGAAGAGGCTGAAATTGACCAATTCTATGAAGACTTACAACACCGTCTAGAAACATCAAAGAAAGATGTTCTTCACATTACAGGGACTGGAATGCTAAAGTAGGAAGTCAAGAGGTAAAAGGAACAGCAGTTCTGTTTGGCCTTGGAGTTCAAAACCAAGCAGGGCAAAGGCTAATAGAGTTTTGTCAAGAGAACAAGCTGGTCATCACAAACACTCTTTTCCAACAACACAAGAGGTGACCCTACATATGGACATCACCAGATGGGCAAGACTGAAATCAAACTGATTATGTTCTCTGCAGCCAAAGATGGAGAAGCTCTATACAGTCAGCAAAAACAAGACCTGGAGCTAATTGTGGCTCTGATCATCAGCTTCTTATAGCAAAACCCAAGCTTAAACTGAAGTAAGTAGGCAAAACCACTGGGCAAGCCAGGTATAATCTAAACAAAATCCCTTATGAATACACAGTGGAGAACATATTGAGGGAACTAAATTTGCTGGATAGAGTGCCTGAAGAACTATGGATGGAAGCTCGTGACATTGTACAGGAGGCAGCAACAAAAACCATTCCCAAAGAAAAGGAACTTCAAGAAAGCAAAGTGGCTGTCCAACGAGGCATCACAAAGAGCAAAGAAGAGAAGGGAAACCAAATGGAAGGGGGATAGGGAAAGTTACAGAAAAGTGAATGCAGACTTCCAAATAATAGCAAGGAGAGACAAGAGGGCCTTCTTAAATGAACAATGCAAAGATATAGAGGAAAATAATAGAAAGGGAAAAACCAGAAATCTTGTCACTCTTTGAAATAAGTAGCCAGGCAGTGATTTCATATATAACTAAGAAGCATATCTAAAATGTATTCCCCTTAATACTGTAAAATCTAAACATAAGAAATATGCATCATGCATAAAAGAGTCCACTCTAGAATCCTTCAATTCAATATCCTTCTCCCCAAAATTCTTTGATTTCAAGAACTGACCCACTGCTCTGATTATATGGTAGAAAATTAGTGAAGTGGGTGGGCAATAGATTATGTTAGCAAGGAGCCGCCTAGAGTGGTCATATTGACCAAATAGGCGGGGTATAAATAAGATAAATACAGTAAATAAAGTAAATAAATAAATGTGTATTCCTTCCTCCCCCTGCAGTACCCTCAACCAATTTCAGAATGACGCTGCAGACATCAAAGGCCAGAGAGAAGACAATCTACTAAAGTCATGGGTGTTCAGCAGGCATCTGCTGAGACTCTACAGTTATGAATCAAATGCTATCTTCTAAGAGCAGGACTGAAATTGAGCTAATTTGGGAGTCAGGCAGAAAAAGGACACCTTTAACTTTGCCTCTCTATTTCTGAACAATCCTGGAATTGAAACTCCACACCTGTTTGTTCACTAAGAGATGTCAACAGGAGAAAGAGGGGGAAAACGGCTTCTGCTTACTACTATCTTACTAAAGCATGAAGACTTTAGATCTAGGAGCAACATCTGCATTTGCGGAATGAGAGCCCCATCACGTGCCACTCTCCAATCTTCTCCCGGGACCCATGGAGGGGGCTGGCAAAGGGCAACCCATGGATTTATGCTTCAAATACCTTCATTCTTATTAAAAAATAACGTGATGTTTTTAATTTGTTTTACACTGAGGCTCTTGTGAGGGGTGATGTTTTTCCAAGATGTTTTAGTATTGATGCAACTGCTATGGCCCTGTTTTTAAAAGCTGCTTTAAAATGGAAGCAATTTCCAGAGACAATGACACTGAAGGCCCTCCAAAAAACGAAACAAATTTATTTATTTATTTATTTATATATTTATTTATTCAATTTTTACCCCGCCCCTCTAGACAACGTCTACACACAATCTCATTCTCTAGACCTACTTTCTACGAATGCTGAAAAACTGGAAACATACTCGTTTGTGCTACACCGTTACATCGAAGGCCCTGCCAAAAAACAAAACACACAATCTCATTCTCTAGACCTACTGTACTTTCTACAAATGTGGAAAAGCTGGAAACATACTCGTTTGTGCTACACCGTGAAGCCTTAACAGACGCACTCATCACATGAAGTGAGAAAGCATGTTCCTCCCCATGGCCTCAAGGCGAAGGTACACAAGCCATTGTGGATTTTTCAAATGCTTATTGTTATTAATAAACCACTCTTTGGAAGCAGTACGTGGGATGGTGGGCAAACTCTTGCCTCCCTTGCTGCAATCCTGCCAATAACTGCCTTCCTCTGACTGTGATTATTTTTCAAAGAGGCCGTTGAGGAAGCAGCCATATAGGCCAACATGAAGGTGGCATTTGTTAGGTTTGTAATAAGGGAAAAAAAGGTTACTCTCTCAACCAGTACTGCGCTCCAACGCACAATGTGGTCCCTTTAAAAACGGCAAAAACGGCATGTTCAAAGAAGGGATATTCAGAGCCATACATCTGGATGTCCCTCCCAGGAGATGTCAAAAAATAATAATAAACCTGGGTTTTGTTTATATAAACCAGACCCTTGCTTACGAGGGAGTCAAGTAGCAAGAGGATCACTCATAGATTAAGAGGCCCTGGTTCAGAGCGTTTCTCAACCTATAAAACTCTGCACAAAGTCCACAGGCCGGATTCACCTTCACCGCTGCAGGGGGGCTGCTGAGACAGATCATGAAACCACAGGGTGGCCCAGGTAAGAATAGGCTGTGGGAGACCCGCAGGAGGAAGAGGCACAACCGAGTTGGGAAATAAGTTACCTGCAAGCTCTCCGCGTTGGGTCCAAAGTCCAGTTTGGTCCAAAGTCCAGTGCTCTCGGGAGACTTGGCCAGGACGATGACCGCATTATTGGGAGTCACGCTGACTTCCACCTCCGGAGGGGTCAGTTTATTTTCAGGAAGAGTCCGCAAGAGGAAACTGTAGGAAGCCGCCTCTTGGCTGGCAAAGCTGACTCCGTAGTGATTTGTGCCCACCTGCCCTTTGAGGCTCTGGGGAAGGATGCCAGGCACCTCGAAAAGGAGGGTCAGGGCCGTTTCATCCTGAGTGCAGCGAAAAGGAGGGCAGAGGAGCGGGGCTGGGCCGGCAAGGCAGCCGGGAGAGTTTCCGGGAGCCCCTGGGTCGAGGTCTCCCGCAGGGAGCGAAAGCGAGGCCGAGGTTTGGGGACACAGAGCCGGCGTTGCAGGCGCCCGGGGGCTGGCGGGCCGGGCCGGGGGTGCCGGAGTGGGGTCTGTGCTCTGCCCGAGGAAGCCATCGATGGGGCTGGCAGGGCTTGACCCGGGATAGCCCGAGCCGATCTCGCCGGGAATCCGGGAGACCCGGCTCTGGGCCAAGATGGGCAACAGGGCACGGGGTGCCGCCGGGGGGCTCCGGGCTGTCGCCGCCCGCGCACACCGGGGCCGCGTGGGGATCGGGGCCGGCCTCCTCTCCCGCTCCTCCTCCTCCTCCTCCTGCACACGCCTCGCCGGGGCCGCTCATGGTTGCGCAGACCGGAAGCGCCGGGCGAGCCCTCCCCTCGCCTTCTAGAGAAGCGCCCTGTTGCTCACAGGGCGGAGGCTCCGGGCTTTCCCAGGCGGGATCCACGGGGAGGTGCGGAGGGGAACGGCCCCCTTCGGAACCGGGCAGGGAAGGCGAGGCGTCTAGGCTCGTGGCCGCTGCCGCCTCCGCATCTCTTTGAAAGGCGCACCCCGGAAGAGCCTCGCCGCTCGCCCCCACGTGGAGGACCGGAGGCGCCGGCTCGGTGGGTCGGGCTTCGTCCCCTGCTGGGAGGGCAGCGGCGTCCTCCTCCTCCTCCTCTAGCGGTTCTCGGGAGGAAGCCGAGGGCCCCGCGCCTTCGCCTTCCTCCGCTCCGGCCTGCTCCTCCTCCTGGCCGCTGGCGAAGGCTCCCGGCGGGGGTTTCGCCAGGACCGGCAGGACGACCACCAGCTGCCCCTTGGCCTTGTGGAAGGTGGCCCGGCCGCCGTCCTCGTCCACCGGGTAGGGCAAGCGGAGGCGC